AAATAAATCAATATTTAAAACAAATTTACCTTCGTTAACGTCGGCTCCCTTCTTTTATAGCGGATTCTTTCCGCCTTTCTTTCTTGAAATTTACAAAATCTTGCAAAAATGCGAGCAAAAATGAAATATTTTTGCAAGAAATTTATCAATCATCAAATCAAGAAATGTTTGCTATTTCGCTGTCGTCATGCAGTCGTTATAATGCTAACTTTTAATTGGACCAATCACAGTGTCCGCTATTCATGACAGTCCACCATGTTTTTGAGATCAGTGAGGATGACCACCCACGCACAGTAAGCCACGCCCGCGATCATTGGTGAACTTTAGACTTCGCTAATGCTTTCGTTTCCCCCGGGTGTAAATAGCCGGCCTGATTGATGTATATATTGTATATTAATTTCTTTTGTCTTTTCAATATTACTTCTGTTTGTAAATAGTATATTGCTCTTTATTCATGGTTATTGAAAAATAGGGGCCTTACGTAAAGTCCAACTGGATTTCCAAAGGTCCCTATCTCATTATATTATTATATTCTCATATGATTTGCATATATATTTCGTTTTGTGGGCAAAAAACATCTATCTATCTTATTAAGACATAGACCTATGCATTTTGACCTTACCGTACTAAACCCAATTGAGTTTACATCAGACATTTGCAAATAGTTTTCTCAACCTATTGCCAATGTTTTTTAAAGCAGAATATAAACTAATTAGCCTGTATCTCTACATATAACTATGATCTAAATCATCTAATTATTTATCATTGCCATTACTAGTATTATAGCACTATTCCATGCAGTGGTATAACTTTAATTTTTCGACCACTTTGGGCAAATTGGACATGAAAATTAGTTGCCCTGAATAAACCTTACTTGCCATCAGACAATGGCCATGCACTGGGTTACCTAGGTAGGGGGTACAAATTAAGGAAACAGCATGTCCGTCCGTTCTCTTGCTGCTCTATATGACTATGTTATACTGCCTCAGACCTTGCTTTGGCTGACAAAAAATAAAATTTGAATCAAGTAGAGTACATGCACAATAAAAAATTATCAGACAATGAAAACATAAACTTCAAGATACCCAGTTTTTGGTGGCAACGCAACATGCCCAAACGGGCAAGTAAGACAAGTGTTTACATTCCCGTCATAATATTATTAACTTGCCCCAAGCAAAGCGGCCAAGTGTTAAGTTACACCTCGGATTCCATGGCTATATTATTGACCAATATTTTTAACGATAAGCTAAAACTTGCCTTGTGCCCAGGGGTCCGCCTACTAGCCCAAAATCATGTTTCCTCTGACAATTTTTTAAATTGTAATACTCGTCGGATAATTCATCAGACTTTAATCTTGAACTGTCTGTGCCAGTGTGGGTAGTGTCAAAATAAACAAAGTTTTCGTTGGCAGGAATGAAACTCCCTGAAAAACATTAGCGAAGGGCCTTTGTTGGGAGTTAGTCGAAGGCGACGAATAGCCTTCACTCAAAACGTTGAAATTCTCTTTATATTTTTCAAGTAGTTGCATTCCTGCAATGATTTTCAAAATTTTTTCCTCTCTCAAAAATCTGCCCAGGAAACTTATAATTTTGTTGCTTTTTTGTTTTTTGGTGTTAGCTGAACTTCAGATCATTATAATCAAGTAAAATCTGTAAGTAATATTATATGTTCTATCACTTCTATGTAGTTAAATGTGCATTGTCTTGTGTCAGGTCGGATGTAGGCTGAACTGAGTTTGAAAAATAGCCGAAACCAATACACTGACTAATTATCAAACTGAAATTTGAGATATCTATGAAATTAAAAAAATAGTTAATTAGACAAATCATTACGGCATAATTCCAGGTCCAGTGTTGACATGTGTTAGCTTCCATTGTAACTCATCATGATTAATTAAATTAATGATATTATTTCTTGTTCTACCTCGATTCAAGAATGAGGGTTTTCTGTATGCTCTGGTGCTGAGTTGTGTCGGTCATGTGTGGCGTCCGCATCAATCCATATCCCTGTTCTAGCTTGTGCACTTTGTTATGTCATCAGGTTAGTGGATCAAGGGGGGGGGGTATTTAGTTGCTATAATATAGGAGAATTCCTTATATATAAATGCTTCCCTTTTATTAGCCCCTCCACTATGAAACCCGTAATCAATAACTCCCTCCGTATTAAGTTCACTGCTTAGGGGCTTTGGTGGTACAATCGTCAGAGCAAGCATTGTTCACCTCTGAGATTGTGGGTTCGATCCTCACATTGCACTAATGACACTTGTGTGAAAAGTGTTAGTCAACACTCTACCAAAAGTCCGGTTTACTACCACAGGGAATGTTGAGAGGGTTGGGATTAGCCCCCAACTGACCCTTCCACCATAGCTGTGCACCGTGATAAAATATGAGTCATAAGGTGCCTGCCAGAGTGTCCTTAGTGAGCCTGCGACTCGATCAGGTTGAGCTACGTCCTTCGCAATTCGGCTCAGCTCTCAGCTGCAAGTAAGCATGATTAGTAGCTAGTACATGCAAACAAGAATGATTAGATCCTAATTCGATTCCTAGTACACCCCAATTACTCACTTGCTTATTAACAGGTTATTAAATTAATGGATTATTGAAGGTTTTTGTAGATGTAAATTTTGAGTGTACATTTTACATATTTATTAGACCTAACGTACGTAAACCAGGAGTAGTTGCAAAAGAATGCAACTGTATGCCGTCTGTTAGGAATCAGACATGTGACCCTGTGAATGCGATTCCAGTACAGCGCTATAAGCTGTGCATTTGTAGATGGAAATTTTTAATATGTTTATCCAGGAGCAGTACGTTGCAAAACGTTCAACTATAGGCCCTCTGGTAGGAACGGAACCCGTGGCCAATGACCTTCGAGCTAGGGGTCAACAACTAGAATCTTTAGCTCGCATGGCTTGCCTGATTCTCGAACACTTAATTCTACCGTCAACGCTTAATTCTATCGAGTGCGATGCCCCAAATCCTCTCTCTCCACCGCAGAGGCTTACATGAAGTTTCTGGTGAGGGAAAAGTGAGCGCGCAAGGAGTGATGGGAAGAGCTAAATAAAGGAAGCCTCTGCGAGTTAATGCAATCAATATGGCGTCGCATATAATCGTTTGTAGCGAAGTTCGATCAACCATCGAGGGTGTTAAAACATGTTTCGACTTTCATTTTCAGGCGTACTTGAGTATCCTGGGGTGAATTGAATATCAATATCTTCTTCTGTTCATTTGCATCGAAAAATATTGAGAAATTGCAAACGAATATCAATGGATACGAGCTATCTAATTATAAATATCCTCTTAATTGTAACATTTCTTTATAAAAATGACTCTATTGAACTTCCATACTCAGATTATGAAGATTCATTTCAATTTCTTTCACATTTCCGTCGATTTCAAGTTTAAAAAAGGTGAAACAGCTAGTTTGGTTCAAAAACCATACTTCGTCGTATTACCTGGAAGAGCCCCCCAACTTCATTTCATTCTTCCCATCACACCGCGCGCGCTCAATTTTATTCAGGAAACTTCGTGTAACTTATTTGTAAATACTTAAGGAGGCTCTGCGGAGGAGAGAGCCAAATACTTATAACAATAATCGTTTCATGTTTCAGATTTTGTTTAATTTTTTTAGCTATCAACACAAACGAGTAAAAACGTTTTGCTTCTAGGTTATAGAATTCCAGTTGATGCTGTGAGGAATGAAAGATCATGTCAACCAATAAGGAACTATCCGATACTCAGCGTATGTTATTGCATGCCATTATGTTCAAGACCCAGCCGGGGCAAACAATATATTTCTGCTTACGCTTTAATGCTTTAATGAAATACACTAATAAAATACTCCTAAAACAGTATTATACTACACTAGTATAATAGTATAGTGAAAGACTAGATAATATTTATATCTATTTACAAGAAAGTCTTCATAATCACTGTATGACACATATATTAGGCGGTGATTAGAACGATGTTGTTATATGCTATTTATAGACAAAAACGACAAAGACAATAACAACAACGACAACAACAACACCAAGACTACAAAACAAACATATAGTACAGTACAAACGATTCAAAACGATACTAATTAGCTACATTAAGTGACTTAATTGAAGGCAAGGCAAGTGTTTTGAAACTTGGGGTTGATTGGCAAAGATTGTTAAATGGGATGTAATTCCAGGTAACGATTGTTCTTGGATAAAATGAAAACTTATATATATTGACACACGACTGCACTTGGCGGTAAGGAAGACTGATTCCAACAAGGCCTTGATGGATCTTGTAGAACATAGTTGCTTGGTGTAACAGTCGCCGTAGTTGGAGATTGCCCCAACCCAGGTGGTCGCGATCATTGGATTGACGTGGCTAGCTCTGGAATAGTCATTGAAGACAAATCTAGCAGCTCTACGTTGAACCATCTCGGTCTTGTTGATGTTCCTCTTGGTGTAAGTGATCCAGACTGTAGAAACATACTCAAGTTGTGGACGGACAAGACTGGTATACGCTCTTGATTTAACAGCAGAGCTATGTAGAATATTTATGAACATCATTGGATAGAAAGGTATAGAACACGAATTGCATGAAGGGAACAGAACATGTGCTTGAGAGAAGCGTGCGCGAATTATTGAGAAACATATATTTTATGCGTTAAATTATTAAAGTTTTCTATACAAACACTTTCCACCCAGTGTGAGTTGAGAAATAATTAGATTAAATGGTCCTTTCGAGACGGATTGGAAAGTCGAAACTTTAATAACATTACGAGCGAAAACAGAGTTGAAATTCACAGCAAGAACTCCAGTGTTTGTTCTGACAACCGAAGACAGTTAAGAATATGATATTTTGGTGAATTTCAAGCAGTTACAATGGCAGAAAACTTGGGAGAGACAAGAGATCAAGAACAGCCCACAAAACACATGTACGGCGAATAATAAGTGGAACGAACTAACTATTGACGATATTTGACGAACGAAAATGCGTGTGCCAAATGCAATTACCATAATGCTATATTGAATATTACTTTATCTTATGGTTCAACTCCATGTACGAGACTATGAGTATAGCAATTTGGCGGTTGTGGACGGTGTGCGTGATAGGGAAAGCAGTCATTAAATTTTAATATAGCTTGCTCGATACATAAACAATCTTAACAGCTTCAAATTACTCTAGTACTTCATTCACGAGTTCAGAATTTCAAATAGGATCTCATGTCGCTGTCTTATCGGTTTTTGTTTCAATTTGTGGCCTGTTAATTTGTTTATCTGTTTATTAGTATGTCTAATATCTGTCACGCCATAGTGTAAATTATTGTTATGTTTATGTATGTTGTGGAACCCCGTTATTGGAGATTTTATCTCTGTGTGGTCATTCCAGCCATTGTGTGTAATTTATAGTTAGTTTATATCTTTAATAATGGCAAATTTGTAAAAAAAAAAAGAAAAAAAAGAGACGTGATTAACGACCTTGACAAGTCCATTTTAAAGGGAATTAAAGACGAGGAGATCGAATTCGAAATCGACTTTACACCCGTTTTCAAAATTACGCGACCAAGAACGAAAATGCTAGAGTTGACATGTCAGTTTTATGTAATTCTGTCACGAAGTTTAAACTTTGAGTTTTGCGGTTCCTTGTCGATGTATATGCTTTGTATGCTTTATATGAACAGGCTTACAATGATTTTCAAGATATTTTAGTGAGAATTATTGCAAAATTTAAGCACAAACAAAATCATAACATCACCGTTATAGTCTAGCGCGCGTGTTTTATACTGACAGCTAGATTCCGGGATAAATTGTTATTTTTCAAACTTTAAAAGTTATTCACGGCACATATTTCTGTTGTGATGGTTTGTATTGTGCTTTAGTTTGTATATCTAAGTTATCTAACTCATTTTTGTTCAGTTTTGGTATTAAATACGGTTTAAAATGTCTTTTGACAGTTTGTTTACGTTTGCTATTTTTTGCAGTTTTTGTGACATAAAACTGTCATTTTGAAGTAAGAGTATTTTTCTGGGAGGTCGCGTAATTTTGAAAACGGGTGTAATGTCCTGCCGAATGTGTTCTTGCACACTAAAAATACTTGTTTGATAAGACTATTCGTTGGTCTAAAATCCATAACAATGCCGCCGATAACTTCATTGTCAAAATAGGACGTGTATAATATAATATAATGGATAATTTCAGCTATATAGACGAAATTTTGATCTAAACAAGAAGAACGCAACCATTACCATAGCTGGAAAGAGCATCTTAAAATGAGTAAAAATGCAAAGTTTGGTTGCGAATTGTTGTCAGTAAAATGAGGAAAATTATATAGCCCTGCGAAGTTCGCAAATCTTGTATATATTTAATATTTGCATTACGCGCGAGAAAAATAACCATTTTTGAGCCGAAAGTGGTTGCAGTATTTTTACCGCGCGTACTATACAAATATATACAAAATTTGCGAACTTCACAGGGCTATAATTTTCTTCATTTTACAACATTTAGCAACCAATCTTTGCAGTTTTACTCATTCCAAGACTTTCTTTCTAGCTGTGTCTAGTCTAAGACGCTCTTCTCTAACTGTGGTTGGATTTTGTTCTTCTTGCATTGATCAAAATTTAGTCTACAGCTGGAATTACCCATTGTCTCCTCTTCTCAAATCTTAAATTTCAACTTTTATTCGGGACTAGTTTATTTCGTACTGACACTGTTGCACGCAAGGGCCACAGGAGTCGAGTGTTTTCGGAAAAATGTAACGGATACACCAACGGAAAACTCGCGAAAACAGTTTAGCCGCCAAAATACTGGTACTTAAATATATTTGCTTATAGCAGTTGACAAGGTCCAGGGCGTGATTTTCCGTTAATTCCACTTCAACAACGATTCTTAGTCGGTTGAAAAATACACGCAATCGGCAAAAGCTAGAAGTTTTGGGAGTGAAAGACTGGCCGTGTTAACTCTGGTTTTGGAACGTACGTTTTAGGTGCGATTCCTATTTACATGATAAAGCCAGTGGAAGCAGTATTTTTGTTTCTACTTTCAAAGAAAGATCTTTGACTGGGAAAAGGTTTTTGGAAATTTAATTTAAAACTTCCGCTCAGAATTGGCCCTCTAAAATTAAGGCTATATCAGACCATTCTCTATAGACTAGAGTTTTGTATTCCATTTATAGCAATTTGATCGATCTGACCATTAGCGCTGTAGGAGAACATTTTCCCCATGTTTCCCACTACACACATAAGAACGCACAAGTTGTCACAAGCCTGCAAACAAGTTGTTACAAATCTGTTCACAAGCTGTCGACAATTTGTGTTCGCACTGCTTGTTCCCAGTTGTTGTAACAAATTTGGAACAAGCTGTTAATAACTTGTAACAAGCTTGATGGCATTATCAGACTTGTTACAAGGTTGTTCTGACAAGTCTGATACAGTAATGATATAACAAGAATGTTACAAGGTTGACGACACAAGGTTGTAGCAACATTGTTATATCATGATTGTATTGGACTTGTTGGAACAACCTTGCAACAAGTCTGATAATATCAACAAGATTGTTACAAGTTGTTAACAGCTTGTTCCAAACTTGTTGACAGCTTGGGACAACCAGTGCGAATACAACTTGTTGACAGCTTGTTGGCAGACTTGTTGCAAGATGTGAGATTTTTGCGTGTTGAGTCTAAATTTGTGCAAAGCGACTTTCTTTTTGTTTGGCAGTCACACATTGTTACGGGGGACATTTCTGGATTAACAAAATAAGGATTTGATGAGTGTTCCAACTATGTTTCAACTCAAATAGAGTTCAGTACTTCGCGCGAACAATTTCGCCTGGTGGAAAACCGGCTTTAATACCAATCATGTGAACAACACTTCCGCTTCACGTGCTGTACATGCTATTATCAAAGCAAGTTATCAAAGTCCAATGTAACTATATACAGTATACAGTTAATGATGTATAACATAACTAATGACAATATTTGTGTACAAGCTGTACAAAGCTCATTTTAATAACACTGCAACACATCAGCATAATTACATATACACTTTAAAATAATATTATACTAAAATAATAAATATAGTTTGCTGTATATACAATAATTTCATAATTTAATTCCGTCTCACTTCAAGAACCAGGAAGCAGCTAGGATACCTCGCCCTGTGATTGACGTAAATTGTCTGAAACTCCTTTCATTCTCTGCCCCCTCTGTTATTACTGCGTGAACTTTAAAGGACACCGCTGTTGCGGGATGTTGCAATTAATTCTCATGATGGTAAATAGAGCAGTCTATAGTTATCACCAAAGTTATTATCCCAGAAAGTTTTCCCGTTTACTCTGTAGCAAATTGCAAACTCCATTCTCTGTTCTGCGGCGCTAACAGGAGGAGTAATGTGAAAGAAGAATGTATCTGAATCTCCAACACTTGCTCCTGGAATATAGTTCGCTGTCTGGTCTCTGCATGTCGCCCACGAATCGAAAGTAGATCTCACAGTTACGTCTTTCTCATATGCGATATTCTTGACTTGTATGCGACCGTACACTCCGTTTCTGTTGCAATAAGTTTTCTCTAAGCATACATTATTCTTTTGTATATTCTCTTCAAATTCTCTAGTAGGGACCGGCGACTTATAATTCAGTAACCTAACTCGCTCTCCTTTCGCCTGTCGTAATTTTCTAAATGCCGTTGTTATTCGTCCAAACTGCTCTCGCTCCCTGACCGTTTCCAGCGACGTCTTTTCCGCAGTAAAGAAAAATGTCGAGACTAACGCGAGTCCTTTAGTATCGGCAAAATGTACGGATTTTCTTGGTGTAGAATCGACTGTGGTGATTTGCTTCGTTGACCAATCGACTGCCATATTACAGCTCGTCAATTTGTTTGTAAAACTTTCACCAGTGTGACTTGCCGGCCTCGCGTGTAATAACATAGTCTGTCACTTCACAGCCTTACATCTAATCTATGTAAGCTCCTCGACTCGAAATGTTTCATATTCCTTGCCAAAGTTTGTTATATAACAAAGATCGGCTTATATATAATAGTGTAAATGTATACCGGTGCATTTTAACCAATCAGCGCTCGTTATTCACATTGTTCCCGTGCTTGACATGCCGTGTGCATTTGCCGATACCTGCTGTGCAGTTCAGCCTGCGTGGGATGTGATATTGTGATATATCATTAAATTTCCGAGTCTGGTACCGTATAAAACGTTGTGATATACTTGCAGTCGAATATAGAGATTGCTAACAAAAGGCTTGTTTTTATCTTTGACATTTCTAGCTGGAGTAGATCTCAGTCCTTTCATACAGGGGCGAACATCTCTAGGCATCCCTGTGGCCTAGGCATCCCTGTGGCCTAGGCCGCCCAGTGGGTCCTTTTTACTTGCGTATATAATAATGGAACGTGATATAGTATAATAAAGATCTCAAGTCACTGATTTTAATTCAACAAAGGTCAAAGGCAATGTGTTTGCATGAAGCTGGTCACGTAGCCGTAGGAGACTAGGCAGACTACTGAGTGCTGTTGTATACGGAAATTCATTTCATTCTAATGTACAGCAGGCAAAGAGCGTCCTAGGGTCCATTATTCTGTCGATAGGGATTCAACTACCTGAAAAATACAAGGAGAACTTCAGCGTTTCGACTATAAACGTCCCCACGAAGGGCATTCGTTCGAAACGTCGGAGTTCTCCTTGTATTTTTCACCAGGCAGTTGAATCCCTATCAACAGAAGTTTTGGTATAATAAACCATTTGCATTATAGACTAAATTTGATCTCAACGAGTCTAGATAAAAATTTCATCACAGCTTGAAAGAGCATCACAAAATTAGTAATATTCCAAAGTTTCGTTGCGAAATGTTCTAAAATGCGGATATTAATATAGCCTTGGGAATGCGGATATTAATATAGCCTTCCCGTGCGTAATGCAAAATGACTGAAAAACGGCAAACTTCCCAAGGCTATATTATCCGCATTTTAGAACATTTCGCAACGAAACTTTGGAATATTACTAATTTGAGTAATTTCGTGATGCTCTTTCAAGCTGTGATGAAATTTTTATCTAGACTTGTTGAGATCAAATTTAGTCCATAATGCAAATGGTCTATTTTTGCTGCGATTTTAGGTGTGATTTTCTTCTGATGGATGTGAACGAGTGGATAAGACAGCAGAGTTATGAATGTTCAAATGAGGGTACATGTACTCTGAACATTCGAAACTCATCTACTCGTTCACATCCATCAGAAGTAGAAAATATAGCACTAGAAATCGCAGCAAAAATTGCAAGTGTAAACGGGCCTTTCGAATGAAATGAATTTCCGTAGACTCGTAGTGCATGCCAGCATTCAGACATTCAGTAGTAGAGACCTTACGATTTTAGGACGACAACCGCGACGGCGACGGCCAAAACAAACTCCTTCAAATAAATGGTAGTCGATAGTTCGTCGTATATTATCAATCGTATGAATTTAATACAGTCTTAGAAGTTGAAGACATGGGTTTTATGGTTGAGAAGAGTTCTGCTAAACCCAGTTTGAAGTTACACTTGTTGCGGGCTTGGAATGCAGCCGTTCTATCAACACGTGAAAATATGTGATTTGGCGTTGTAAACAGAGCGAGGACAGTGTCTAAATTATTCACATATTGTAATTACTCAATTCTTTTCAATGATCTATTGTATTGGTAGCCGTTGCCGTCCTAAAATCGTAAGGTCTCTAGTCTGTCTAGTACGGCTACGTGACCAGCTTCGTGCAAACACGGCTTTGAGGTAAAGTAGAATAGTGATATCGTATCGACAGGCCCACGATTTTGAATTCCAGATCATGAACGATCGTTCGAATGATCTTTACTGTATATTGTTACTGGAATTAAACTAAGCGGCTAATTGGATGTGATAAAAGCTTTATGAAACGAATCATCCTATAGCTGCTTTATTAAACGAGTCATCCTGGCTGCTTTCGAATCATCTTGGTTGCATATCAGCCTCGTACCTCAGGCTAGTGTTCTGAGCTCTGGGTGAGCTTTTAGGCGCGCGGGGAAGAGCCTGGGTACGAGGCTGGTTGCATATGTATAATGTTGACTCCGACAGGCTGCTCTATTTGCTCTTCCGATACTCCGGATTTTCGGAACACCAATAGAATCGAACCGAAAGCGGTCACATGACTGTTCTAGCCATGTGACCGAGTTCGATTCTATAATTCGTGTTCCGGAGCATTCGGAACAGTAAATGGAGCTGCCTGCAAGGTTGACTCAAGCCTGATGCAGTAGGCGATGTTCACCCCATTTTGCTAGTTGCTACGAGTATGAAATGTTTAACAGAGAATTATTAATATAGGTGGAAAATATTCGCAGAAATGTACCATATCCAATGAACATAGCCTTCTCGCAGCCCGAATTTGTTGCGAAATTCTTCGGGCTGCGAGCAGGCTACAATGTGAATGAACATGGCTCGTCGTCGAATCTAACGATATTTTTATTTCTCACCAACTGCATGTGTCTCGATAGGATATTTGATCTTACCACGTCTGGGTAATTTGTGGCAATTTTGTCACTAAATTTTCGTTTAGAAGGAACAGAAGCATGTTATTTTTTGTCTACTAAGGGGCGGACCATTAGAAAAGTGATGGGGGGGGGGGGACCAAAAAAAATCGAGCAGGGGAAACAGAAAGAAAGAAAAATTCGTGCACCAAAAAAGTTTGAGAAAAAAATTCGTGCAGAGACTTTTCAATGAGGAAAATTATAAGTTAAAATAAAAAAAAATTCGTGCAAGGGATTATATTTAAAAAAATTATCGACACAGGCAAAAAATTTAAAAAAAATATTCGTACAAGTTGAAAAAGTCCCCCCATCACTTTTCTAATGGTATGCCCCTTAAAAAAGCATAGTTTTTCTTTTCAGAGATGTGGAGCGGCCGTTTTAAGATTAAGAGTCCATTAAGGTCTATTAAAGTGGTTGGACTTGAGGTTAGCTTTAAAGACGTGATACTGCAGCATGTACGAACGACGTATTTGGTTCCTTTAATAGTTTTTATTGTACGCCTAGACGTAAGCCCGCTAGTTACGATACTGGATTCACTTATGGTACGCCATGAAACGCCAACAAATTATATCGACCGAGGTCCTGGGCATGTGTCAGTAAATACTGATTTATAATGCAAATTAAAACTTCGACAAGAGACATGTTGTGGCGCATGGCTATGCCACATCACATATATTCACCTCTTGACTCCTAAATCTAGATCTTTCTTTGGCAGTAATGTGCAATCAAGTATGAAATTTATCTTTTCAGATAGTTTGAGCACACATACAGAAGCAGCACAACCCCTACGCCTGCTCCGCTTGTCAACAGTACACCAGACCCTCGTAATTACATTCAATATGAGCTCATATAAGTTATCAGGATCAATTAGAATTTTCGAGATAAGGGCCAGTTAGAATTTTCTCGTATTCATATAATATTCATGCATATACGTATGGGCTATATATGATATCTGTGTTTATTTCATGATCTAGTTTGTTTTCTGACTGTGGTATTCTGAGCCTTAAGGCGTTATACCTACCAAAATGCGAAGCCAAAATGCATGCATGTGAATACTAATAAGAGTACTATAACGTGCATGAATGCCAACGTCTATTAATAAACCAAAGCAGAAAAAAACGTTGGAAAACATCCTCGGCTCATTAGCTCAAGTCTCGACCATGGAATAAGACAACAATGAATAAGTTATCAGGAATGCACATGCATATACTCTGTTAGTCTGAACGTCTTAAATAAATGTTCTGAAACCGTGAGGTAGTTTTTACTTGGAATATCTTGCTGGCATGTTCTTAGCAAGTGCCCTAAAGAGAGGCCTTCACCCCCTGGAAGATTAAATTTCAATATGTTTTCATGGGATGACGGCCTCTCTTTGCACACTTCGGCTAAGAACATGGCCATGGCGGACTGAAAAAATCCCTTACGCTAAATTAACCGAAGTGAGACCTGTGTATGTACTTACTCTGTGATATAGAGCAGAAATAAACATGTCTGAGCTAGCAAAAGCTTAGTAAAACTGTTATAACGCTGTCCGGATTGCGGTCTTACTGTTGTAAAAGGCCACAAGGGAGAAGAGTTTAGAACTGATTGAGCTCCGCTTCAGATGTAATAGTAAAATACAACGGCAATGGGCTGCATGTATCCATAGTTTGTTTGTGTACTTCCAACTCAAATCGATTTAAACTCGGAGCTCATTTAAACCTAGGTGCAGACACCCTGCTATGCAGGGCCTATTTTACTTCGCGCGTGCAGAAAGACCAACACCAATGTTTGTTGCTTGTGTTTCGTCTTTGAAAATGTGCAAATCAGTAATGCATCGGTCAATGACTCGATCATTCCTGAACATGCAACACCAGGATATTCCAACATGAGGTAAAGTGATCTTTAATTTAATAAAGTGCCTATGACACGAGATTTCACCCCAAAGGTTTATGGTTGCATTGTAAAGATCACTTAAAATGACTTAATAATTTCTTTTGTAGAATTTTGGTATTAGGGACCGACCGGTCATTATTTATGGCGGGGGGTGGCACCGAAGAGAAATGTTTTTCATAGCAAAAATTTTGCTGACCCAACCATTAAAAAGTAAAAAAAAATTGATTACCCAACCTCAAATATCAATTAAAAAATAAATACCCACCCCTGGCCAAAAAATTACAAAAGGTACCATTCAGTTGTCACATATGTCCTTTACCACTTCTGTGACATAAGCAGACATGCCAACCTAGCTTGGTTAAAAATCGTGAGATTTGTGTTTTTCTTTTCCAAAAAAGCGTGAGAAATGGTCAAAAAGCGTGAGACAACAAGTAAATTGTAAAATATAGACTGTATGGCTTTTTTAAAGTCGTTGCTATCCACAAATAATATTACAGCCGATTCAGTTTGAGCGTTTAAGGTGTGTGTTTGTCGCGATCGTTGTTGACGTTGGAATGCGACGTTTCTAGCCGGGAAAACGGTCGTTTCTAGGTGTGCGATGGTTTGTTTCCATTGGCAAAAAAATACTTTGCTTTGTAAATAGCACAACTTGTACTTTAGCCAATGGAAACAAACCATTGCACACCTATAGAAACGACAGTTTGCCTGGCTAGAAACGTCAACAACAAACACGCACGTTAAACGCTAAAACTGTATATACACAGAAAGAGTGACACAAAGTATAGTTTGCAATGCCAACAAGCGTACAAAATGCCAAATCTACGTGACAAAACACAACTCAATGAACTCATATGATATACTAACATATCATACATAAGTTATTGCATGTCTAAAATGGAATAAATGAAAAATGTCAATATATAAACTTCTGTATTAGGTAATTTACTGTGCATCCCCGATGTGCTTCTTGTTGTAGCTCACAGTGGATTTTTTTGAATTTGTAAGCACCTCGTCATCAGGTTTCCATTTATAACATGGTGTCGATGATTCTGGGTATGTTGTTTTCATTGCTAAAATGCTTGATAAGGTACCATCAAGCTTAAGGTTGGAACGACTGTCCGGTTTGTTCTTTCTAACAATGCTGAAAAGCCTCTCTTGTTCAGCATTGCTATGTGGAATAACTAAAACAATTTCTGCAACCTTTGACAGGTTTTTGAACCGATTCTGTGATGTTCCTGGCACTTTCAAGTGAGCTAGATGCCACCAGAGAATGTCTACTCTATGATGAGCAATTTCATTGCCATCTTCATCTTGGCCATCAACAACTTTCGCTTCTTCCCATGCTCTTTGACCAATAGCATCATCAGGCAATGTTTGATAATCTACAAATTCCTCATGCAGGATGTCAGGATTGATACCTTGGAGCAACGTCAGCAATGAGAATTTTTCCAAAAAGAACTGCACACTTTCCCAAGTAGTGTCTAGACGCTTGGGAACATTTACCCACACAGCATTGCACAACACATCATTGCCAATTGGGAATTTATCAAAAATGTATTTTAAAGCACTTTTGAAATAATGATGAGCAGCATTGTGTACTTTGTTGTAATCAGAATCATTTATGGTACCATCATTGCGTAATCTGTTCAGTGTAAACTTAGTGGTGCCTCCCAGAAATAGTGATGTTGACTTTATAAAAATACTTTCATCATCAAGGTCTAGTTCGGTTACCGAATCAACATCTATCAAAACTCGTGGTAGAACAATTCGATTAGCAAGCTTTCTTGCTAGACTTTCCATTGCTGGCTGCACAACATGAACGGTTGGTTCATCCCTTTGAAGTAGAAGGTTAAAATGAGTAAACAATGAAATCGCTGCAGATTGAAAGAGCAGGGCAGGCTCTAACAACGGATTGCCAAACCGATCACATAACCTTTGGAATCGCTGATCAGGAGATTCTTCACTTAAAAAGTATGACTTTAAACTAGGATACTTTTTAAGAATTCTGTCTATGCAGCACTGTAATGATAACCATCGAATAGACAAATGCTTTAAAACAGCTTGATAGTCTTGATTACAAAGCTCAAAATATTCAAGGAGCTTGCCTTTACGCTTCGAACTTTTGCTAAACCAATAGAAACAATCTATGCAAATGTCCTCAACATTAATTCCCAAAATGTCACTAAAAGCATCATTGGCATGACTCGCAGCAATATGTGCAAGATGACATGGACAGCCTGCAACAAATAGTTCAGGATTCATTTCCAGAAAGCGTGAAGCTACAGAGTTATTGGCTCCTATCATTGTATTAGTATTGTCAATACTAAGACTAACACAATTTGTCCACAGCATTGAGTCTCTGGTGAACGTTTCTTCGATAGCTTCAAATATTTTATAAGCTTTGGCCCCATCTTCTCCTTTTGTCAAGCACATGTCAAAAAAATGGTTAGTAACAGTTTTTGACCGATTAATATCAAATAGTCTAATGCTTACAGGGTTCATCTTAGCCACCCCTGTATCATTGGACCCATCCGTACCAACACTATAAGGATGTGTTTGGCAGTGTTCTATAATGTATTTGTGACACTGAGGGGCAAGCGCTTCATTCAGGATACATGATGTTTTGGTTCTACCACAAGAATATGATGCAGCGATTTTGCTATCAGGAAATATCTCTTTAAAAAGAGGTCCAAGGTCCAAAGATGTCCAAAGATGTTAATTAGAAGTCCAGAGGTCCAAAGATGTTAATTAGAAGTCGGCAGGCTTTAAATGAACGAACGTACTAGCAAACTCTACAATTTACTGAAGGTATGCATTAAAAACAGTGTGAGCACATACTAGAGGGAACTAAAATTGAATTGATTAATGGTTGACCATTTTTCTAGAGTTAGTACAGTAGTTAATAAATTAACCTAGAGAATAAAAATGTGTGCAGTACTTTCAAACTCTTGTCAACATCCAGACAAAGTTTCCATAAAGCGTCGATTTTTTCATCTTCTGCTGGGTCAAAGACTTGGAATGATTCGTCTTTTAAACTAAGACGAACCATCTGGCTCTTAATCAAATCGACAGGAAACTGGAGTGACTCAGAAAGCTGTTTCTTCAGTTCAGGAGTGTTGACCTTGTCCCTCATCTCTTTAACACTACCAGCATTTGCTTAATAATATAATATATAAAAGTAAAATGGGAATTGTGACCATGAGAAACACATCCTTTCATATTCAACAACTTTTACTTTAGTACATTACTGTGGAAGAAATTGACCACAAATTGACTATTGGTTAAATTACCCACAAGGAATGGTAAAAAGCTCAGAAGGTTAAACTAGTTTGAAAAAGGTTTTATCAGAACAGTACTGTACAGTGCTTTTAGTGGATATTACCCACAAGTTTCAATATACAGTAAATATGTTTAAAAAAACTTGTACCAATAGCTTTCTCAAATTCATCACTCATTTTCCTTCTCATTACTCCAATTCCCTGTAGTCCTATGTTAACGATGCTCATCACACGTTCAACAGGATTGGCCCAGTCATTTTACTTGGTGCAGTTCTGAGTGATATCAGGAAATCCAACTTAAGATGTCAAAACAGGGCAATTAGTGCTAGCTTAACCGACATTTAGTTGTTGCGATGGTCTGGCCCACCATCAGTATATATCAGTAGACCAGGTTTGATTTCTACAAGAAAAGAGAATTAAATAGCATTAAAGACAAAGTTTTGAGTGACATTGGACCAGACTTCTAAATCTGTGTATAAAAATACATCAGTCAAGTGTAATTCTGATTTCCAAACTTTCCCCAATCATAGGTTCTAGTTAATATTTTTAAAAACAATTGATACACATATTACCTTCCCCCAATGCCAAAATCCCTGCTAACTCAGCAGAATGCCGGAGCGCTGATGATGGCTGCATAATAGAATCCTTAATTCCAACAAAGACATTTCCTCGATAAAAACTCCCATTAATGTCTGGTGGTATGTCAATCTGTAAACAGTAGATACAGGTAAGGATAGTGACATAAGAGCCAGGTATTTAGAAATATATAAATACAATATTCCTTGTACTGTATAAGGTTTATGTCTTCTGTTCAGGATGATGGATATGGTTACAAGGAATGGATGTTGCCAATTTTTCGACTCTATATTATTCTTCATAAGCTAGTGATATTTATGGGTGAGCATACTGGTTGCAAAAGCCATGCAACCCCCAAAAAACAAATTTGTGGACAAAGCCTTTGCTGCCATGCATACATGTCTATCATTTCAATACCAGAATATGGCTGGATAACAAAACACACTATCCAATGAGTCCCTAAAAATTACAGATGCTAATTCAAAGAAAAATGATTTTTATTCTTCAAACAAGCGAGGGCTCCATGCGAAAACTCACCAAGAGGTTAACAGATGGTGTCAACGTGCATTTCGAAAAATCGTGATCACAAACAGCCATAGTTTGGTTCATGGCAACAATCATTTTCTTACCACGTTCGGCTGCAGCCAAAGGAAAGGACGGCTCTCCGCATTTAATTTTATGCTTACCATCCATGCTCACCAGTTGCACCAAGTGTCTGTTCTTCACAGCAAACTCTCTGAGGTAACGCCAAGCTGCGGCACAATAGTGGCTGTCAACATGCTCAGCTCTCACCTAAAATGAAATGATAAAGTACCAATGATAGTTTGCTCACCTCCTCATTATTAATATTTTTATTACTGGAAGTAGTTCAAGTAGTTGATAAAAAGTTTTGTAAGGGGCATAAAAAGTTTTGTATGTAATATAAATTGCAATACCTGTCGTTTCTGCACCATCATTTTCACATTTATGTTTCCCTTGTAGTACTTTGATGTGTTAGCCTTCGGATTGAGTGGTTGAAATTGATATCTCAACCACTTCACACTTGTTATATTTGCACCTTCTGGCATTCTCTCTTTGACTGTTGAGTGTAAATCTTTGATGCTGACGGCCTTTGCCAAGTAAAGCATCTCACCATGCCTTCGCTCTTGTACCGCTACTCCAATATCTTCCTGGAGGTACTGCTCCGTGTAGTACCTTTATAGTGATTTGAAAATAAAATATTAATCTTGAAAATACTAATAATAAAAACACTATTACACATTGTATTAAATCCAGTGTTTCTTTACATTTCTTTTTGTTGTTAAAATCGGTGTGAAAACTTTTCAAAACATCGAACTACAAGTTTAACTTTTCATATAAAACAACTCATAACTGTTTTATTTGATTTAGCAGATAAAACAATACATGTGAATTGAATTG